GAGTTGCCCGTTCACGAGCTGGGCCGCGAGTCCCAGCGTGGTGAGTAAACTAGTAAAGTGCCTTTTTGACATGATGATAGATGACCAAGCATGAGTCGGTAAGGAATTTCGTTTGAAATTGCCGTTATAGAAGAAAATATCCGGGGGGATCACCTCCCTTCGGACAGCGCTTCAGCCGTCCATATTAGCAATGAGTGTGATAAAGACTCATTGTATTAGCGCAGCTTGGAGGGGTTGGCGATAGTATCAAAGCGAGAATAAAAGAAATCATGAGCTACATTCCCAATGCGGACAGGGTTACCGTACACGCCCTTCTAATAGCACGGTTGAGGTTGTCCACTTGGATAAAGCTACTACGTAGTCGCCTCTTGACGAACAAACACTGATACCAAAAGTATTTGCCTTCTCACAATCCCATTCCATCATGTCTCCGCACTGAACAATAACAGTGGCAAAGACGGTGAGAATGCATTGAACGCCCCTTTATCGCCAGGGACAAAGACCAATCAATATTTCGCAAGAGCCGTTTCTTCAGAGTGCATTGGCCCCAGGCTACCTACCTCCGTAGCAGGAGGAAACAAGTAAGGCCGCGACGGCACTTGTGGCGGTGTTTCGTCACTAACATCCAATAGAGAACCTACAATAGTGTGTAGTTAAGTGTTATTGTTTTTCAACGTTCAGCACTTGACCCTAATCCTATCTGGTCACACGCGGCGAACCCAAGTTGGAGGCACTTCTCAAAAGTAGCTAAGTTGCCTCCAAGCGATAGAAGACATGTTCAAAGGTAGTTATTGTATAGTACTTAGTTAATCGTTCCTACTTGGGGCAGAACTTGAAGAAGAGAACTTGTAGGGACGGACCCCTGGGCATCGCGGCATCGCGGCATCGCCCAACCAGAGAGGGAAAGTGGGGTTTGGTGGAGGGAAGAGCGAGCTGAGCCCCCTAGGCTTACCAATGAATGACTCGAGCCCTACTGCCGTCTGTAACTATCTAGCGTGGGCTCTGTGAACCCTCCAGGTTTGCCTCCCCCCATGAGTTAGTTCTGAGGTCTGGTCTACTCTACCACGCCCGCCCGTCTTTCTTTTTTTGTCTACCGGCATTTGTTGCACTTCCACCATTGGCTGCCTGACCTCACTCCTTGTCCCGGTGCTCTCGGTACTGCCCCTCCCTCGAACCTCCTTTGCGTCAAGGCGCACCACGCTCTTTCTTACATGGCGTACGAGCCCTGCCTGCTGCCGTCCAACATCGCCACGCCGCGCTGCCGATACCCTCGCTGCCGATACCCTGCGGATCCCCCGGCGTAGGCGCGTTAGTCGGTCAGCACCTCTCTTTGCCGTGTTTGACCATGCGATAGCCCGCCCGCCATCTTGCGTCGAGGCACTACATCACTACATACCTACGTCGAGCAACACACAGCGTTGCAACTCAAAAAGCGGCTTGACGTCGCTGCAGCCCGCCCGCCATGGGACTCTTCGGCCAGAAAGCGAAACTCAAGACGGCGCCACCCGCTGTGCGCGTGGAAAAGGTCGTCGTCGCCACCAAGCCTCGACCGAGCCCGACACCCACCAGCAACCCGCGCGCGTCGTCGGCGGCGCATCTCTCCCTCCCCGCGAAGCCATCCCCCCGCCCGCGCACGTCGCGACCCAAGAGCTCGTCCCCCTACCCCTCCTCCTCGGACGAGCGCCGCGTCGACCGAAAACGCAAGGCCGTCACGAGCACGCCCCGCGACTCGCCCGTCTTCGGCAACGACTCCGAATCCGAAGACGACGACGGCGACCCCTTTCGGAAGCGCATGCGACGGAGCGACGGCAGGCTCATCGACGTGAACCGCAAGTTGCGCCACAAGAAGTCGTTTAGTGACGAGATCAGGCGGCCAAATACCATCCACGCTGCCGACATCGCCTCGCGAGCTACGAACTGCCCTCCGATCCCCGGTGCGCGAGACGATCAGGTAGCCATTGAGGTGCAGTATCCTTCGCGCTGCGCGCGGGAGAGGTAAGTTACACCTGTTGAGGCGGGGTTTGACGACAATACTGACATCGAACTGGAGATACGAGCTCGTGTGGCAAAAGGACAAGATCGACGCCGTCAAAGACATTCTCGCCATTATTGAGAATGTAGCGGAGACGTACCTCACCGACGCCAACTCTAGGGCTTTTATCGATCACAACATGAGTTTCAGGAGGCAGATGGAGCGAGCAATAAGTGAGAAGTATCGAGATGTCTCGGCCTTCCGGGCAGCACTTGATAGCTACAACACTAGGCTTCTGGAGCTGGTGGAAAACGGAACTGTCGCCAAGAACCTGGACCGAATCCATCATCTACCGTCCAGTCTCGTTTCCCTGATCCTCACCCAAGTCTACGATCGTACAGTCGCCCCGAAGGTAGAGATGCTGACCAAGTACGACGCCGGAAGCGATAACGTCTACGGGGAGTTATTACACCCGTTTGTCACCAAAATTCTGGTGGAGCAGACCAAAATGACATCAGACCAGGTTTTCATCGATCTCGGGTCCGGGGTCGGGAATGTGGTTCTCCAGGCCGCGCTGGAAATTGGCTGTCGCAGTTACGGCTGCGAGATGATGGAGAACGCCTGTAACCTGGCCGAGGCGCAAGAAAAAGAGTTCAGGTGTCGTTGTATGCTCTGGGGCGTTGCGCCCGGAAGGGTTCATCTCGAGCGGGGCGATTTCCGGACGAGCGCGAAGATCCTCGAGAAACTGAAGGAGGCAGACGTCATACTGGTGAACAACAAGGCCTTCACATCCACCCTCAACGATGCTCTGATCAACATGTTCCTCGACCTGAAAAAGGGCTGCAAGATCATATCCCTCAAGTCTTTTGTCCATGATAACAAGACAGCGATCAACGACGTTGCCACGAGTATCTTCGACGTCGAGTATTTCCGTTATCACGAGAATTGGGTGAGCTGGACCGGATCCGACGGCGAGTACTACATCTCGACCAGAAAATAAGATACTAGCCGGGTCGTATCCCTTCAAGGGTTCCTTTCAAGGGTTCCTTGCCTTGCCTAGGACAGGTATCAGTTATCATGTCTTGTACTTATATGCGCGGCGCGCGAAAAGAAGGTGCGGAGAAGCGGTTAATTAAGCACCAGGGTAGATTAGATAGCCTGTGGCATGTGGGCTTTTCTTTCTTTTTTGCTGGATTTGGAAGCCAACGACGATTTAGACACTTACTACATAGATGACATAGCAGTAGATGATACCAGGCATAGAAATGATGATTCATGTCCTTTCCACCCCCTTTTTGGTTTCTATTTGAGATCTTCTTCAGTTCGCTCGTCACCTATGGTGTCTGCCCGGTGATTCGTTTTGAAGATTCATGGCGTCGGCCTCGTGACCCATCCTCGTCATCCAGCGATCGACGAGCTCCTTGTTCTCCGCCTGCACCTTGGCGGCCTTCTGTATGGTCATGTTGAGCTCCATGTTCAGCGTCAGGTTCTCATCCTGGACGTCCTAGAAAACGGGGGGGCGAGGCGGGTCAGTACGCGAGAGGTTCCACGGACAAAGGTAAACAGCAGCCCTGCGCCTCGTATTTCATGCTCCTTTGGGAGCCGTATCTGACGTCCTGCTCTTCGATACGATTGCTCTCCAGTCGCTGCCCGGCAATATGGCCAGCCGGAATCCTGACGGAATGGTCCCATCGCAACAGCCTCACGCACAAGCAAGGTAACCAAGGCAAGCAAGCAAGGCAAGGCGAGGCAAGGCAAACAAAGCCCCCACGTAGACGTACCTTGAGGAAACTCTTCTTCTTCTCCAGCTCCTCGTTGAGGTCGCGCACGCGCGCGGCCAAGGCGCCGCGCTCGGCCGTCAGGTCGGCGACGCGCCGGGCGTCGGCGCGGCCCCTGGACCGCAGGGACGCGAGCTCGGCCTCGGCGGCGCGGAGGCGGGCCTGCGCCTGGCCGCGGCCGCGGAGGGCCTCGACGAGATCGAGGCGGAGCTGCGCCGTCGCGTCCGCGGACGAGTTCGTCGTCGTCGTCGTCGTCGTCGCCGTCGTCGTCGTGGGGTCGGCGGGCGGTGCGGGTTTGGAGGGCAGGGGTGACGGTGTGGGCGAGGAGGACGAGGGCGAGGACGAGGACGCTGGCTTGGTCTTGGCGGCCCAGGCGGCCTTCTCGGCCTCGAGCGCCGCCACGCGGTCTGCGAGCTGGGAGCCTGGGAGAGGGGGCGGCGAGAGAGAGCGGCGCTGTTAGCTTTCCGTCGTAAAAATAGGATACGGGATGCCTCGATTTTTGTCTTGTCTGTTTGGGTCGGGTCGAGATTTGGCCTGGGCAATGGTGTGTTGTTGTGGTCATGATATATATCATGCTGTTTTCTGCTTACTTACAAGCTTCGACCAGGTCCTTGTTCACCGGGCTGTTGCGCTCCGCCTCCTGCAACGAGGCCAGATATTCGTCCCGCCAATGCGACATATTGAGGGGTTTCTCTCGGGGCTGTGTCTCGCCGATGTGTCGTCTGCATAGTAATACGAAAGAAAGGCCCGACTCGATGCGTGTAAGTGCGTGCCGCGCGGATGAGGGTAGATGGGTGAGGTGGGAGGCGGTCTAGAGGGAACCTTAGGACGCTACGGCACGTGGAATGGAGGGGTAGCTGATGAACGGCGGGGTTCCGATTACCTATCTGTACGGAGTACCTAGTCGTAAACTCAAAACGATATCTCACCTGGCGTAATCATCTAACCTAACATTATGTTTATAATAAATTAAAGTTGATCTCGCGTTACATATCTACGAGGCCAGGCAATGTACATATTACCTGGAAATCTAACTACCGCACTGTCTCAGTGGACTGGAGATATTGTACTTCGACGGAAATGAATAAATTATATTTGCCTTATGCAAAGTCACCTTAGACATTTATCTGTAGTCCGTCCACCTTGAACCAGGCCTGTTACACCCCGCGGGAAAGTAACAAAAATGCAGAAGATAAAAATAACAAGCAAAAGTTTACAACCCGATGTGAGTTTGGAGGATCGGATTATGCTGATCTCGCTGGGGGTCGAACCCAGAATCTCCTGATTATCGTCAAGTCTCCATTTGCTGGTTGCGAAGGGAAACTCAGTCGTAGTCAGACGCCTTGCCATTGGGCCACGAAACCGAAACTGATTGCTGTAGGCGGGATCACAACTCTCACACTGACCTCGCTGGGGGTCGAACCCAGAATCTCCTGATCACCGTAAGGGAACTCAATTGCTGAATCCTCACTCGTAGTCAGACGCCTTGCCATTGGGCCACGAGGCCGTGGTTGATTGGAAGCACGGCGCCGTACACTGTGTTAAGAGGACGGACAGAAGGGGAGACGCGAGCAAATTTTTACCAAAGATCGGAGCGAGGCATTAGATTCGTCCCTTAGTTTAGATCTGTGTCTAGTTGATCTGCCACATGACTCGGTTAGATCCCGGAGTCGAGAGGGTCTACGAAATTGTCAGCAAACGCCAAAGCTTTTCACATTAGGTAACTATGCAAATCAGACCGAAATAAAAACATGAAACATAAAATCCGAAGGGTCTCAAAATGTGCATAAAAACAAGACGAAAACAACGAGTCAAAGGTGTAAAAACAATAACAATAAGAATGATGATGAACCTCGAAATGGTCCCAAAAAAAGATGGAAAGGCCCAAACGCGACTTGAACGCGTGACCTTGGGGTCTGCAATCCCACGCTCTACCGCTGTTGGGATTGTCAGTACACATTTTGAATGTGCCAAGGGTTTTAAGAGGACTGTACTCACCTGAGCTACTGGACCAATGATGAGAAGACGAGTGGAAAATAACATTATGTTCGTGCTAAGAAGAGGAGAAGGTGTCCCGCCATGGCTGACTGGGGGCAGAGAGGCTGAGCAAACCGCTGGTGACATCGGGTAAAATAGAACTATACCACTACTAGTTGGATAAAGACGAAACTCAGCTGGCAGGCTTATTGTACCTACCTTCACATTTGGCAGATGCCCACCATACTGGCCGACGCCGCGATGCGCAAAATTCATATCTGTTGCTTCGTTGCATGCTGCTGCATAGGTAGACAGGCAATTCCAGTAAGACGACTAAATGAAGAATAAATTCGGCCTCAACTCAAGAGAAGCTGGCTATCGGCTCATCTCCATCGCCCCCCATCTATCTAGGACATAAGTCAGATGGGCGGGTTTAGACGGTTGTTGCACGCTTCCTCAAAAACGCAGCGCAACTCGTCGGGAATATCTAGTCACAAAGAAGAAAAAAGTAACAGAGGCATTCACAGTGTTTGGCTATCTTGAGCAAGGGATGAACCAAGCATGCATGGAGTACCAAAAAGAAAAAATTTAATTCGTTGCATTCTCAGTGAACTAAGAGGCATCGGGAATTGAGCCCGATGCGGGGGTCGAACCCGCAACCTTGAGATTAAGAGTCTCACGCTCTACCGATTGAGCTAACCGGGCAGCTTTTTAGAGCTGCTTGTTGAAAACGGGTTCAGCAAAACGCCATATCATCGGAAGGTGCAATTGAGCAGCCCATGCCTACCAAGTATGGGTAAGTAAGCTGTACTCTAATGGTGGGACTCTTACAACGTTGCCACACAACCTCTTTCACGGATGGATGTTATACACTTCTCACCGAGATAGTCACTGGCCTTTAAAGGCAGACTAAAAAGACAGCTGCTTGTTAACAATCCAGGGCGCAAGTTAGTGTACTTGCTTATACTATTATAATAATCTGCTAAAACTTCTTCTACGGCTTTAAAATAAAGGGGCGGACAGGATATATTTGTGTTGCTGCTTACGAACGGGTGAACTGGGTGATTATACTACTTTCAGACCTTGTACTTCTGATCGGGAAGTAAGAGGTTGCTGGTGCTAAAATGTGAGCCATTATCCTATAAAGACTCACATGCTACCTGTGGTGTAGTGGACCGAGCTGGCGTTCTAAGACATTCGCTGAATTAAAACCGCCGAAACACTACTTACTATTGATGCCACTAGCGATAGCTTCTACTATCACCATTAGGAGAAACTAGGAGGTGCTTTGTACTAACATTGAAGTGACATTTGAAAGACCAGAGTTATCAAGCACAGGTTGAGATCCTCTCACTTATTATCACTTCCCGAGAATTTGTTTTCCCCGAATAATACTGTAAGAGACTAGTAATCCTATCAGGGTTTAAAAACTACATTAGTGTATAGGGTGCATGGTAATTGTTCGCCTTCATGTCCGCGTAGTATAAGTCCTATCATAAACATAAACACACACCACGGTACTCACAAACAGTCAATGTACGCAAACTTACCGAGGTAGTCAAGCCATAACAGTACTTTCTCTTTTTTAGTAATGCCCCGTGGCACAACAAGACGAGAATAAAACCGGCGGAATACAAGGAGTGGGCTTGACGAAAGGACAACCATAACCCGGTGGGCTATTTCGTGAGCCCCTTTAGGCCAACAACGGTTGACCATAACCTCCCCATACCTGGTTGCCTAGCTTGCTACTCATGCAAGCTGGTATGACTTGACAGACCACAGCACCCACGGGCTCCGCCTCGTACCATGTCGTTGGCCGAATGTCGCAGTCAACCGTGCTAGTACTCATCTACGTAGCAAGTGGAGGCCCATGACGCGCGGGATCGCCATCTCGGGAAGTCATTAAACTCTCGTACTCGTCTACCATAGGCCGAGGCATCCCGCGTCGAGAGCTCTGACACTCTGGTCCGCAGCCCAACCGGCCTGGCCAGCGATATCGCCTGGGGCCGTGATTCGCCGGGGCCCGGGCCGCGACCCGCGAGGCCGGATCCTCTATTCGGTGAGAGTCTGGGTCGTGATGAGCTGGCACTCGCCTGCGCACTGAGCAGGTCCCAAGTCGGGGAAACGAGCACGGGTCGCTTGGAGGCTGCTCGTCTCGAGGGTGAAAGATGATTGGACCAGGCCACATGCCAACCATAGCGTCATGAATGATCAATGCCCCGTCCAAAGGACTTTATTGTTAGTAACAGAGAAAGCGAGGAGGGGCGAATCTTGGACAGAGTCCAGCTGAGGGGGACGCCATGACGCTGGTCTTGGAGGGGCTGGGCCCTATGGTCATCTACTCAACAGAATACTGAAACAAGAGGAATGTCGGGACTATATCCGACACTCTACTGTTCAATGTCTCGTACGTATCTTGGCTGCTAAGTACGATGCCATTTCCCGTCGACATCAAATCATCTGATTGATGTTTCCATCCGGCATTGCCTGGCTATGCTGTATAGCAGTAGGTACTTAGTAGTTAGTAGGTAACACCGGTGTTTTAAGATATCGACGCCAATTGCCCATAGGAGGCCTAGGTGGTATTCAATATTAGACCGATCTAGTATAAATCATGCACGTAATGTGGGGCATGATGCCCATCAAACAAGTAAGCAATGGGGGCGACTCTCGACTCTTCTCATCGAGAGACACTCTTCAACATTGTTTGATAGGCAATAGGGTGGCGGGTTGTCTGGAATCCAAATCGGCCGTATCGTGGGTATCCACCCGGCCGGGGGTGCTGGATGCTACTTTACCAGCGACGGAACGGGAAAGGGAGGGTGAAACAGCAGTTCACACGATCGAAGTCTATCGTGGATTAGGCAAGACATGGTCCCTTGCGGCGCCGATTTTGGTGGGGAGAGGAATCCAGGCAAGAAGTTGCACTTTAGCAGGCAGATACAATCATACAAGGAACCAAGGAACCAAGGCTACGTACCTAACCTAGTGTCGCACATGGCGCTAGGATGGGCGTGGTTAGCAGTGTTAGCAGCGTTAGCAGCCGGGGGGATGCGCAAAGTGCATGCAGAGGCGTGCCAAGCAGTGGTCTGGGGGCAGCCTGATTGGCCGACGCGTCGCGCCGGGTTTAAAAACAACACGACACGTCCAGGCCAACCGCATCCCTCGCCCGCAACCAATCCGGCATCACTCTACGCGCCGCCCGCCCTCATCCAATCGCTTGCACCCACCTCATTAATCCCAGGCACTCCCAGGCAGCCTCTGCGTCCTCGTACGAGATCCTCTCGGTCGCACACGCACACTGCCAGTGTGCATCGCACCACCAGCGGCACACCAACACGCGTAGAGATAGCACCGAGCGCAGTGTGGCTCAGCAAAGGCATCGTGCAGAGGGAGCCCGAGACAGGGAATCAAAGACAGACAGGCAGACAGACGGCGCTGGGAGGATGTGAGAGACTCGGCCATTATCTATTGTCCATTGTCCATTGTCCGAGTCTAGCAAGCAAACAATAATCGATTGGAATCTCGAGCGGCCATCTCCCGTGGGATCGCCATTCTTGCCTTTTCGCCCGGGGAGACCAGGTCTTGCCGCGCGCCGTGAATCGCCCCATCGCTCCCATCGGCACAGCGCTACCGGGTTGCTCAGGTTGTTTGCCGTTTGGTACCGACGGGAACCAAGCGTTCCCCGACCATTCTCTACCGGAGGATTAAGCTTGTCTGGATCTTCGAATGAAATTGCTAGGTGCGTGCGTTGCGTTTCCCAAGTCGGTTCTCCTGCCTACAATGCACCCTACGTATGAACGGCCAGTTCGAACGCCTAGTCTCTAGGTAGGCAATGCTCTCTAAATGAGCTGGGCCCGGATTGATCCATCTGTCACAAGCACGCAAGTCCACTGTCCATCCCGTCCAACTAGAGAGCTCGCGCCGGATCCTGGCCGCCGCCCCCCTCCCCCCCCTACAGTCAATGCCCACATCGATATCTTGCTTACCATCATCGTGTCAGCCCAGAGCACTCTGGACCAATCCTCGTCCGTCCTCAGCGTCCTCTGCCGGGACCGCGCCTCCACACTGTTCCACCTCGCTGCTACGTCCCACACTGGCGGCCCACAGCGCCCCACTGCTGCGCTGGCGAGCTAAGCCCTACTAGGTTTTCCATCTCGCGCACTGCACGCCCAAGAGCCAGTGCGCCAGTCCCTCTTCAGTTCCCTTCTTTCCGCCCTTCAGGCTTCCCTCTTGCGCCTACGTGCCTACGTACTCTACGTACTACCTCTGGCCATACCCACACTGCCAACCTAAACCTGCTCTCCAACAGCGCTACCTACATAGCTCTAACACCTCTACCAAGTAAACCTGCCTGTACGTACCGTGCTCCCCCCCCTCTGCGCTC